AATAAATATAAATAAACATAAATAAATATAAATAAATATAAATAAATATAAATACCTGTGGTAGTCTTCTCTATCCTGCACTAGATACCTTCTAATATATTTATTTTCTCTGTTTGTTTTATCTCTTTTTACTTCTTTTTTCTACAACTAAATAAAAATAAATAAAAACAAATAAATATAAATAAATATATTTATTTATTTATATTTATTTATATTTATTTTATTTATATAAATACCTGTGGTAGTCTTCTCTATCCTGCACTAGATGCCTTCTAATATATTTATTTTTTTTATTTTTTTTCACTTTTTTTTCTACAACTAAATAAATATAAATAAATATAAATAAATATAAATAAATACAAATAAATATAAATAAATATAAATATAAATATATTTATTTATTTATATAAATACCTGTGGTAGTCTTCTCTATCCTGCACTAGATACCTTCTAATATATTTATTTTCTCTGTTTGTTTTATCTCTTTTTACTTCTTTTTTCTACAACTAAATAAATATAAATAAAAATAAATAAAAATAAATAAATATAAATAAATATATTTATTTATTTATATTTATTTATATTTATTTTATTTATATAAATACCTGTGGTAGTCTTCTCTATCCTGCACTAGATACCTCCTAATATATTTATTTTCTTTTATTTTTTTTTACTTCTTTTTTCTACAACTAAATAAATATAAATTAAAATAAATAAATATAAATAAAAAAAAATATAAATAAATAAATATATTTATTTTATTTATTTATTTATTTATTTATACCTGTGGTAGTCTTCTCTATCCTGCACTAGATACCTTCTAATATATTTATTTTCTCTGTTTGTTTTATCTCTTTTTACTTCTTTTTTCTACAACTAAATAAAAACAAATAAATATAAATAAATATATTTATTTATTTATATTTATTTATATTTATTTTATTTATATTTATACCTGTGGTAGTCTTCTCTATCCTGCACTAGATACCTTCTAATATATTTATTTTCTCTGTTTGTTTTATCTCTTTTTACTTCTTTTTTCTACAACTAAATAAAAATAAATAAAAACAAATAAATATAAATAAATATATTTATTTATTTATATTTATTTATATTTATTTTATTTATATTTATACCTGTGGTAGTCTTCTCTATCCTGCACTAGATACCTTCTAATATATTTATTTTCTCTGTTTGTTTTATCTCTTTTCCATTCATAAAAATTTACTTTACGCAGCAGCCGCTGCTCGTGATATTTTAATTCACGCATTATAACTTTCTGCTGCTGCTGCTGCTGCTGCTGCTGTTGCTGCTGCTGCTGCTGCTGCTGCTGCTGCTGTTGGTGGTCGTGGTGGTGGTGCTGCTGCTGCTGTTGAAATTGCTGCTGTTGCGGGTTTTCTGATGTTCATAGGCGTGAAGGTTCTGCTGCTGCTGTTGCTGCTGCTGCTGCTGCAGCTGCTGCTGCTGCTGCTGCTGCTGCAGCTAGTGCTGCTGGAGAGAATAGAGAAGCAGCAAAAGAGAAGATATATAGTTAAAATATAATAAATTTTATTTATGATGAAACGAAAAAAAACTAAAATTATTTTCTTATGCATGCATGCATGCATGCATTACACCGGCTGCCGTAGTAGCTGCTGCTGCTGCTGCTGTTGCTGCTGCTGCTGTTGCTGCTGCTGCTGTTGCTGCTGTTATTTTATAATCAGTCCCCACATTGAGTTTTATTTTAATTAATTTTTATTTAAATTAATATAATTATATTTAATTATAATAATAATTTGTTGCTAGTTTATCTCTATCACCAGCAACAGCAGCAACAGCAACAGCAGCAACAGCAGCAGCAGCAGCAGCAGCAGCTGGGGCTGCAGCTGCAGCGTGGGGCGTACGTATCATCATCATCATCATCAGCAGCAGCAGCAGCAGCAGCAACAATCCTG